GAAAGAACGAGACGAGCTGGAAAATCAAGTACAGGTATAGTTCAAGACCTTTTTCAGTCAATCTGTGTGAAACCAAAAAGTCTAAATGTATTAATGCTTGATTTCATTGCAGTCTTTACAGCTTGATCGAAGTCAGCTTGCATCAGTGACAGAGGAAAACGAGGGCCTGAGGAAACAGGTGGAGCAGATGGAAGCTGAGGCCAAAAAGTGAGTTATGTTTTCAATAGAAATGTGAGAAATTCAACACAAGCCAAAAGGAATGACTTGGACTTTGATGAGCCTGTTTAGAAATGTGTGTATATAGATTATTTCTGTTGGCTGTGGCTCCAGATGAACAGACATTTGTCTTTTTATGATATTGTTATTATCAGCTGGCTCATATTTTTTATAAATAGGGCCATCTCCGAGCAGAAAGTGCGTATGAAGCGGCTGGGCACAGATTTGACCAGTGCACAGAAGGAGATGAAAGCCAAACACAAGGCCTATGAAAACGCGGTGGGTATCCTGAGCAGAAGACTTCAAGAAGCTCTCACAGAAAAGGAGACAGCTGAGGCAGAGCTGGTCAAACTAAAAGCACAAGTTTCAGATGGAGGAAACAGTCAGGCCTTACAGGTAATTTACAGATGCCTATATTATAAATACAATTTTGGCAAATGGTAAAAAAACAAATGTATGTCTTCCTCTCCAGGAAAAGATTGAAGCTCTCCAATCTGAGCTAAAGGCTGTGAACAATAGCAAGTCTATGTTGGAGAAAGAGCTGCAAGAAGTGATTACCCTCACATCTACAGAGTTGGAGGAATACCAGGAGAAAGTACTTGAGTTGGAGGATGAGGTGAGCCATCTGACAACTATAGTTATTTTATTGACACATTCTCTTCATTTTTATTGGTTTGACAGATGGAAATTTAATTTACAGTTGAGATTACATGTGTGCTTCCTTTCCTTAGCTACAAGAGTCAAGATGCTTCAAGAAAAGGATTCGGAAATTAGAGGATGCCAACAAAAAACTAGCTTTAGAGTTGGAACATGAAAAAGGGAAATTGGCTGGATTGGCACAGTCCCATAATGCCTTGCGGGAACATTCCAACATTTTAGAAACAGCGCTAGCAAAGAGAGAAGCGGATCTAGTGCAACTAAACTTACAGGTATGCTCTTTGTTGTGTCTTTTATCTTTTTGATTGTATGTGGTCATTTTACCTTGTCTATATGTTATCTTAATTAATAACTGTTATGCAAGACGATAATTATAGACTCATTGTGTTTTTCAATTGCAGGTTCAAGCTGTTTTAAAACGAAAAGAGGAGGAGGATCAGCAGATGAGACAGGTGGTCCAGACACTACAGCTTGCATTGGAAAAAGAAAAATCCAAAGTGAATGATCTCAAAGAACAGGTTTGTACCCCCCACACAATTAATGTAACTATATATACTATACTGTATATATTTAATGATGTACTTGCTCTCCAGGTGGCAGCAGCAAAAGCAGAAGCAGCCCATAACAGAAGGCACTATAGGGCAGCCATGTTGGAACTGTCAGAGATAAAGAAGGAGCTACAAGCCAAAGAAGATTTGGTGAAAGTCCTGCAAAATGAAGCCCAAAAATTACAGTATGTGCAAATTTCTATTTCATTACATTTATACTATTTTTATACCACTATATAAGGAAAATTAACTTAATTACTGTCCCTATTTTTGCAGGGCTCAGGATGAACAACATGCTCAGGAGGTTTCAAAGTTCCAGGAAGACTTGGCCGAGGCTCAGTCACAGATTCAGATTCTCCAGAAACGTCTAGATGAGGAACTGGCAAAACAACCCCTGACAAACCAAGAAGTAAGCCACTTTGTACTTGCAATTTTTACAGTGAAGAAGGTATATATGTGTGTTACCGAGCATGTTTATTTGTGATATCATTCTTCTCACTCAGGTTGAAGATTTGAAGTGGGAGGTGGAGCAAAAACAGAGGGAGATTGAGGCTCAGAAACAGCAGGTGGAAATGATGGAACAGTGCCATCAAAGGGAGCTGGAAAATCTACAGACAGCTCTGCATGTATGTACTGTACTGTCTACACAATATTAGTGAATGTCTAAATGCCATTAACAATTATATATCTATATATGAGTTTTTTTAAATATGCAACCCAAACATTTGTGTCACCTTAGCCTAATGCTTCATTGGGATATAAAAAAAAAATTATGACTTTGCCAGTACTCTATGCTTACAGAGACTTAATTTACACATATGAACATATTTTCAGAATCCTGAGATTAAAATCAGGATAAAAAAAAGTCTAAATAAGAATTTAAATCCCCTCATGAAAGTTTAGAAATGACTCCATAATTAACTAAATCACAACTTCAATTGCAAAAATACTTCTACAAAGAGGGACCATTGTCCCCTCAGTGAGGATTCTAGGTCTATATTTTGACATTCACTTATGCTGCATACAGTTTACAGCAGAAGTGTCAGCATCTCTGGTGACACTTGCTATGCGTCAGGTCTAACCAATAGTTGTCTTTGTGACAGAGCATAAAAGTGGAGCTTGAGACTGTTCAGGAGGATCTGAACAGTGCCAGAAAAGACAAGTTTATGCTACAGGCCAAAGTGGGAGAGCTGAGGAATAGCATGAAAACTCTGCTCCTGCAAAACCAGCAGCTCAAACAGGATCTCAAACAGAACCGTATTAGAAAGGTAAGACACAATTTAATACTGTGGACACTGGATCAATGTACAACAGGTTTTGCACCCACATAGACTGTTGTATAATGTTGCTGTAATTAAGCAAGTAATACAGCTATACTGTGGATAAAATCTTGCTTTGTTATGGGAAATTTAAGGAAAGAGATACTCAACCAATAGTTAATATTGATACCCTTTTTTGTTGTACCAGCGTATTGAGCTGAAGAGTGAAGGAAACCCATCTAACCCAGTGACGCCAGTCAAAATCCCAGACTGTCCCGTACCTGCTTCTCTCCTGGATGAACTACTGAAACCATCCACCTCTGTAAACAAAGAGCCGCTCAACAACCTGCACAACTGTCTACGGCAACTCAAGTAAGGGTCAAATTGCTGTTATTTTAGGCATTATATATTGGCAGAAATTATCATTGTTGTCATACCTGGTGTTTTTAGGGAGGAGATGGACAGCCTTCAAAGACAGATGGAGGAGCACACGGTAACTGTTCACGAATCAATAAACTCATGGCCAAACAGTGAGGATGGACAAGCTCAGCTAGAACTTCAGAAAAATGGATCCAAATCTTCACCGCTCACAAATATGCTGGTAGATAATAATAATGATGCAGAACCACAACAATCCTAATAAAAAGTATTTACCTCAGGCTGAAAGAGGGAGAGTGGAGTTTTATCCACAAGGCACTTTGAGCTCTGTGTTCTCTTTACTTGCTGCCAACATTTGGCAATTTCCCATCAGCACAGAGGTGCTTTCTGACATTACTACTTTCTATACTATAGCTTTATGCTTTCTTCGCTGGTTGTTTATATTTTTGTTAAAATATCTGAGATTTATTTATTTGGAGTTTGAAATATATTTTAAGAAGACCCCTTATCACAGTTCACACTTATAACACACAATATGTTCTGAGTTTTCTGACTAACTGAACTGGGTCACTAAAAAGCATTTACTGACATGTAAAATGATAAATGTCCTAACCCAATTATTTTGCTCAAAAAAGTTTACGTCTGAAAATTGTTCTTCCAGGTTGCCTGTGCCTGTACATGAGAAATTACTCATTTATCTTTAAACTGACTAGGTTTAAATGAATTGCTTAATAATACTTAATGATCTCAGTTATGTATTGAGATTGCTCCAGCATGAATTGCAGTAATCAGTACCTTTAATAGCCTTAAATGCAATGTTTTAAAAGGACTAGGGTGGTGTCTGACTACTCTCTTGTTTCTGATGATTTCCATGTACAGTTTAGAAGAGTTCATAGCAATGATCATTAATATTACTGCACATTTGTGGACATTTAAGGACAAGGACACTGTACAATGAGACAGTTATGTTACTACTGCTACTCCTACAACTGTGCAATGAGACTTTACATATTCTGGTTACAATAAGTATATACTGTATTTACATTAGTTGACTCCTCAAACACACAGTTTGATGTGGGGCTGAGTTAAGGATTAAGTTAATGGTTTCCAGAAGTTAATATATAAATATGCTTTCTTTTGTATTATTGTGTATTCATAATAACTGTTAATTAATGGTGTATAAAGTGTCTAAATAAGAAACTAAACGAAATTGGTAATTAATTCTGGTACAGTAGTTATTACTCAAACTGGAATTTCCTTTGCTCTCGACACAACTGTTATGCAGCCATACCCTTGCCATTTGCTTGGTAAAGAAATCTTAACCTGTATGTATTTTGAAAGGGACATTTTGCGATAACTGAATGGGCTATTAATTAATCCATACTCTGAACATGTTTCTTTCGACTCACATTTGGAGTCCCTGTATTTTGGTACTCTGATAACATTTGGGACATTTTTACTCTGTTCTGTAACTGTTGTATCTGCAGTTCCTCTCATTTGGAATTCAGTCATTCCATTGTTTTAACATTTGTGTTTGGAGATGTGACTGTATTTATCATAAAAGTTGCACTATTCATCTGAAATGGCTTGTCAGTGATTCAATGTCAATACCAGTTTAGTATGTTATTACTAATAATGGTACAAATGGGAAGACCGCAGACAAGAGAAACTTTTAAATCTATGTGTGTGGCACAGATGATGTCATTTTTTACATATACGGGCCTACTTTTGAAATAAAACTCATGAGATTTATTAATCTTCACAATAAAATGTAAGAAAATACTTACAACGTAATGACTATTTTTTTAGGATATTTGACTGTGACTATTTATACTGTGTGCATAACTGATATACTGACCTAGCCAAAAAAGTATATGGACTTGTGAAAGTGGTGTTTTTTTTATTTATTTATTTATTTATTTTTTAATGAAATTATTTTTGCCAAGGCATTTACTCGGACGATACTGGGTCCTTGGTCGCTGCATTTTGAAACCGTCGCGGTGTGACACCTAGCAGCAGCAGCCGCCGGGGGAGAGTGGAGGAGGTGGAGGTAATATTTTAATCTTTTAATTGTTTATGCAAGTGCTGAGCATTGTTAAATCAATTGCTAATTAATCCGGTCATTAATTACATGTATAGGAGTGTTTGGATCTACCGGAGACATGAGTAAATTAGCCTTGCTTTGCTGAGTGGCTGGCTAGCGTTAACGTTAGCATTGTAGACTGCTAGTGGTAAATAAACATACATTTCTAAACTGTCATTGGGTGTATACAGATGGCTTAACCTATTTCGCCTATCTGTAATCGGTTGTTAAGTAGCTTAGCTAAACAAATAACAAATTCAAGGTCCTTCTTTTGGGCTTGCCCGAGTGCATATCGTAATGTCCAAGGTGGCCTACATGAAATAGTAGTTTCAGATATCATGTGATACTTTTACACCACCTGAAGACCGACAAATTATAAAGTTATTTTAGAGCATGTGTGCTCTGCTCTGAGACTAAATGGGAATATGCTTTATTTGGGATTTGGTTTTGTTTCCCTGAAACTGATCATGTTTGCCGGATGAGCTCAGGATACTGCTTTGATGCTTCCTTAGAAGTGGGTACATCGAATCTAATCTAACTCGCTGTGTTATGAGACACTCTAAACAACGTAACCGAAATAGCTAAATGTTTAAATATCAATGGTGAACTTCGTGTACACCTTGCCCGACGTTGTACAATTTCCTACAGTACTTAAAAGCAGCGTGTGCCCTCCCTAGAAACTGCGCATGCGCGCAGTATGTTGTAAACAATGGGGCTATTCCAGATCGAGCCTAGCTTTTTGTCTATCCTACAGTTAATCTGGTATAAACTAACGTCAGTTTTCATTTGATCTACTTATAATGCATATAACATGTTACATGGTGAGTACAGGAACGCAATTTATCAGATGTCATCACGTACACCACGATTTTTGTCCGCATCATCAACACGAAGACGTATCAATTTGTTACGTTGCAGCTCGAAAACCAACCTCGATTGACATATTTGGGCGTGACAGCATGGGAATAAAGATTTTCTTACTTAAACAATTTCATGGGGCAAAGTGGTCTCATTATAAAGGCCACACTACTTCTACTCAGTCCTACTACACTTTCCAGGGTGCAATCTTCCTGCTACTGTTCTTCCTGTAACGAGTCTGCGAAGTGAAGTGCCATTTAGCTAGCAACTTAGCTGTGTTAGTTTGTGTCATACATGCATTTATAAAAGCTCTTTTAAATATAATTCCTTTCTCACGACAAACTGTTTTCTGTGTGTTTGAGTGCATGTGTGGGGGGGAGCATGATTTAAAGTTATGGACTGGGTTTATGTTAGTTAAGTAGTGACTATTATGGATTAAAATTAATGCAATAAATGTCCCCAAAAACATGAAAACCCAACGTTTGTGTCCTAATCATAATCAGACTTAACATTTGTTTAATATGTGGGGTATGTACACTGTATGTATTACTGTCACTTACCTTGTGTCTTACTTTGTGCCATAGGGCTAAAGTATGGAGGCTGTTCTGAACAGGCTGAAGGGGCTGAGTGCTGATGAACTGCGAGAAGAGTTTGCTCGAGCGAACCTCAAGTGTGGCCCCATCACCGCTACAACCCGGGCCATATTTGAAAGGAAGCTAGCTCGAGCCCTTGCAGGTCCAGAGACTAGTGAGTCTGATACAGGCACAGCATCAGCTGAGATTTCCAGCAATGCCACTAAACATGCCACATCTGTGCAAAGTGCTACTACAGCGGCTACACCTACAATAACCAGCAGCAAAAGTGAGGCTGCTCGAGAGGAGCTGGACTTTGGCTATGGTGTGGGTCTGAACCCACCAGAAGAAGAGGAGATCTCTGTGCTGCAGAACTCAAACAACTCAAATGTCTTTCAATCAAAGTCTCTGAGTGAAACTCCATCCCGGCCTGCACAAACATCCCCAACATGCTTTTATGGGGTATGCCCACCTTGGGAAGATGTTTTAACTAGAAATGGTAAGCCCCAATTTTTTAAACGACGTTCAAATGTCTATCTTATACACGGGCAGACTTTGAGCATACATTACAAACAAAGTATTAATTTACCATAGTTTAAGCTATTTTAGCAATGATATTGCAATATTATATGAACTCTGCTGAACCGGCAACAGAAAAGATATATGCAAAATTTTGTATTTCATGTTTGCAATCTCGGTGGTAAAATGAAATTCGAAGTCCTTATAGTTTGTTTTCGGATCTTTAGAAAGAGCACATGTGTACACAGACAAGAAAGAAGCACTTCAGGCTGTTAAGCTGATGAAGGGTGCCCGCTTTAAGGCATTTCCTAATCGTGAAGCTGCTGAGAAGTTTGCAAAGGGCATTTGTGACTACTGTCCTTCTCCAAGCAAATCCACACCATGTGTCTCACCTGTAAAACCTGGAATGACTCTTGGTAAAGGTGGGTGCTATTTAGTAGTATTAAAAGACAAGTGAAAACATCCTACTGTCAACTTTGACTATTTGCTCCACAGCAGACAACATGGAGGTTGATACCATTAATCGGGAAAAGGCCAATAGTTATAAGAGTCCTCGCACACAAGACCTGACAGCCAAATTAAGGAAGGCTGTTGAGAAGGGTGACGAAGCTGCCTTTAGTGAGCTAGTCTGGAGCAACCCCCGCTATCTCATTGGTTCAGGGGATAATCCAACAATTGTGCAGGTAACATACCAAATAATTAGAAAATCTGTTCATTAAAGATAGTTTGTTGGATTGTGTCTGGTCTATAGATAGAAATCTGTTCTGTTTTGTCTATTTAGGAGGGATGCCGGTACAATGTAATGCATGTAGCAGCCAAGGAAAACCAGGCAGGGATCAGCCAGCAGCTCTTGGACATTTTGGAGAACCCAGAGTTCATGCGCCTTATGTACCCAGATGACCAGGATGCGATGCTACAGAAACGTATCCGCTACATTGTAGATCTATACCTCAATACTCCTGATAAAGCTGTGAGTTTTATGACAATGCATTATTAGAGAAAATCATGTCCAAGGGCTGAATTGAAAGTAATAATTTCTTTTAGGGCTTTGAAACTCCCCTTCACTTTGCCTGTAAATTTGGGTGCCCAGAGGTTGTCAATGTTCTATGTTCGCACCCTGACATAGACAAACATTGCAAAAACAAGGATGGCCAGAGACCATGTGATGTGAGTATGGGACATGCCACATGCAGCACAAACCTGTTCTTGTTCGTACTTGTCTGCTTGTAGTCGTGACCTTATCGTTTGCTATTCAAATCTCTGGCCACAACTCCACATTGAGAGTTAAAATTAGATGCCCATGAGCTAATTTCTTCCCCTGTGGATTCTCAATGCTCAGTGCAGCAACAGTTGCGCTGTATTATGTCTATTAATAATAATGGTTGTTTCACCTTTTCTGCAGGTTATTTGTAGCCGAAAAAATAAAACACAGGAGATTAAACAGAAGATTATTGATTACTTGGAAGGTAATTCGACTTTATTCAAATCGTCAATACATATCATACAGATATTCAATAGACCTTCACTTTAATTAACCCTTACTGTTACATTTTTTAGATCGCTGCTATATTCCTTTGCTGAGGGCAGCAGATAACACATCTCAGCCTATTATTGGTACTCCCTGGTCACCTGAGTCGTCAGAAAGTCTCACTTTGATCCAGCGTCACATGAGAAGTCCGATGGATCCAATGATGACTGTAACAGCCTTTGCTGGACCATTGAGTCCCTCTAAGGCAAGTCTTTGAAAGTTAAGTGTGAGAAAACTCAGACAGGTAATTTACAGACCGCATTGCCTCTTGCAGGCAGATGACTTCAGACGGTCTTGGAAAACACCTCCTCGAGAACGTGTTGACATCCTCAAGTCTGACCCAGAACGTGGAGCAGAGAAAGTGGGCAGGTACATCCCAACGTCCATGAGCCTACTGTAGTTACGGCTACCGTTTTTTTTTTTTTTTTTAAATCCATTACTTACTGACTTTTTTTTCTTTGCAGAGACCTGGCCCATGAAATGGGCCATCCCTGGGCTGAGTACTGGGACTTTCTGGACAGTTTTGTGGATTTGTCATCAACCGAGGGTTTACGTAAACTTGAAGAATATCTAGGCAAAAAAGACTTTAGTTCTCGTGTTTATGAGGAGGCTGGGGAAAATGAGACCTGTAATAGATTTAGGACTCCCTCTCCAGGTACAGCACATGCATGTGTTTTACCACATGTAGGTCAGACCGTAATGTCAACTTAAACTTAAGACTTCTGTTGTGATTGCAGGTAAACTCAAGAAGTTTTGCAACTCAATCTCTGTGGGTGCTTTTCTGGATGAAGGTGACGACATTAGCCTTGAAGAGATAAAGAATCGACAGAATGCAGCACTTACCAGCATCACCTCATCTGCTGCAGCCAAAGATGGACTCAAGGGTGCAGTGGGGGGCCTAGACTTTCACATCCTGCCCAGACCTGATCTGATTGAAACAGCAGCTGAGCAGGACATGCTGTGCCGCTGTGATGACGGTCTCCTGTCACCCAGCACTGTCTGTAAAAACGGGGCATGCTCCTCCTCCAGAGATAGGACTCATAATGGAGACAAAGTGTCCCAGCGTACCTCCCCATCCCCCTCCTGTCTGCTGTCCCCTGTTTCAAACCTGATGGTGGAGTTCGAGCGCATGTCGCTCCAGGAGCCTATAGACTCCTCCCCAAGCTGCAGGGAGAGGAGGAGTAGTGGAGGCAGGAGCAGAGATTCACACAGTTTCTCCTCAGCTGCAGAGCTGAGCTCTGGGCTGCACCGCCTGTGTCTCAGTCCCAAACAGGACAGTGAGGCTGTGGAGGGGCCCAGCTGGAGCGCTGAGGCAGGGGCTGAAGAAAGGCGCAGCAGTGGCAGCTCAGAGGAATACTTTGAGGCAGAGGAGAGCTTGGATTTGCTGGGCAGGACTAGGGGGTCATTTTCAGGGGCACGCAATTTCTGTGCAAGGTCGAAATCATGGGACCATGGAGGGAGGGACCTGAGCAGCTCTGGTTCCTCCAGCTCCTCGTACAAGTCTTTAGACAACTCCCATGAATTCTTACCACGGACGCCACCACCCATAAGAAAAGGACTTTTTATTGAAGGGTAAGATGCACATTTAATTTTATCTGTAAAAAAATTTGATGAACTTTTTTGGTAAATAAGTTTTTCTACACAAAATACTGAATATATTTTCAATTTCTTTAGAAATTCACCTACAAAGTTGGATAGTCAAGTTTTGTCAGCCATTGAAGGCTTGGACATTGACCCTCAGAAGTACCCCAGCATTCATAAATGGAAGAGCACAATGAAATTATTTTCTACATCAGACATGCAGAGGTAAGCAACAAAACTAAAAAATATTGTTAGGAACTCCGTTATTATCTATTATTGAGGTCTTTATTTTGAATTGATTTGAACCTATTTGGCAGTTAAATTAATAATTGTAATGTATATTTAGGCTGTTCAACAATCAAATGTTTCCTCCCCCTGCTATGGTGTATGTTGCAGGTGGCCTAGTCCCGCTGTGGTTAAACCGCGACTCAGGATGCCCCAAACCCCCGGCTCTCCAGTGAGCGGCCTGATGTCTCCGGCTCGGCACGCTGCCTCACCAGACTTCAGCCCCAGCCGCTACAGCCCTGCCAATGCTAGCTACTTTCAGAGAATCCGCCTCAAGCACTTAAATGACCCATCGGTATAACTCCTGCCAACCAGTGTGGTCATGCCCTGCTTTTCCTCCAGTTACCAATTCAGCTGCACCAGTGGCTCTGACAGATGGAGCTCACAAATCTAACAAAAATATGCACAAATGTCTTGAAGTTTTGTACTAAAGCTGATGTACTACGTGGAATGGGAATTCTCATTGCATTGGGTTGTGATGTACTCGATATAAAAGGAAAAAAGATCTGTATGTACGGTATGGGTGTGGATGTGTTTAAGTTGACAGTAGTCTTGTGGCAAGTGAGGAGCACCTGTGTCATAGCCTGAGTCAACTCTCTGAATATTGTGGTAAAAAGGAACACTCCCCAAAGTAAGTCACTAAAATGTTAGTGTGAAGTCCTCAAGAGGTTTCTGACACTGATGCATCTTTTAAAAAAAAATCTAATGTTAATATTTAAAAATATTTTTTGTATGTTGGTCAGTAGCACAAAATGTTTTATATAAGTGGTGTAAAACCGACTGCCATTTTTTAAGTTCTCCTCAGTTCAGAAATTGCCTTAATTTTCTGAGATGGGTCATGTCTCATCAGTTTGACACAAACACTTGGAGGTGACTAGTCAATGATTGGATCTGTGGCAGTAGATTATGGCAAACCTCAAAAACAGACTGAGCTCTTCCATGTTTTTATTTTGTTATTCAATAAATGTATACATTTACATTTTTCTCAGTTGACTTGGACATGTTGACTTTTTTCTGCCACTACTGATGGCCTTAGACGTGCAATTCCTTCTCCTTTTAATTGTATATTTATTGGTCAGGAGCCCAAAACATACACTGAACATAGTACCTTAACATTTAAGTTTTGTGGAAAACCTATAAATTTTCAAAATGTTAGCACTGTTCAAATTGCCACATTATCTAACGTTAAATTTCAAGAACCATTTAAAATGGGCTGCTTTGTTTTTGTCACTGAGTTTTTGCTGAAATTGCCTTAAATACATCTAAAGTGTTTATACAGGTTAATAGTACTTATGGTACTGAACTAATTATAGTAGTCATTTGATTTACATTTAGTTGTTTGTACATTGTTAAAACCTAACTGACTAGAATACATTTTTTATTGTTAGCTTAATTTGCTTTGTTCAATACAACCATGAATGGGGCTAGTTAGGACAAAACACGAAATTCAGTTTTCCACTCTGGTCAGGTTCCAAAACAGCTGTTCTGAATGTAAATTTGTTGTGAACTAAAATTTTATCTGAGAGCGCTAACCTTCACTCAAATGATTGTAACGTCAACCTTGTGCTCTCACAGTCAATTTTATTCTGGTCTATGAATGTTCATGAATGTGGAAAATGCACCTAAAAATGTCAAACATGCTTCTTGTGCTTTTATCATTTTGTGCTTTATTAAAGGGTAGCTCATGGTGTATTCTTTCTGTATGTCTGGACATCATTTGCTTTCAACTGATTAATAAAACATCACTCCTACTTTACTCTGATGCTTATGTTGTTTTAATACAAAAATTTCAACAATGTTCATTTAATTTTAATACACAAGAAGTATACAATTTTGTCACACCTCATGTAAACCAAGTTAGTATTTGCAATACCACGTGAAGTTTTGGTTCTCTTAAAAAAATCTGTAAAAATTCTACATTCAAGAGGACAGCTTTTTTTTTTTTTTACTTTGCTGGCATCATATGGCACATGTCGACCACCACACCACAAGAGTTATGGTTTTAAATTACAAAATAATTAATTTTCAAGACACTTATGAAGAAAACTGATTAAAACATCAGGTCCGGGTGAGTTTGTCTGGGGGCATGAACCCTGAGTCTCCTAGAGTCCGCAGGGCCACTCTTCCGCTAGGACGAATAGTCAGCCACGTTATACTGCCATTGTTCAGGCCCATCCGCAACCAGCCCTCTGGAGGAAACTGGAGAGCTCTGAGATGACAAAAGAAGGCAGCATTTGAATTAACTTTATGTAGGTTAGATATTAATTACTGTTAAAAGTTGTAGTTAAAGACTTCAGTCTCCATAAACACTAGAAACAAATCAGACTGGAAAAAGCAATTGAGAAACACATCGAAGCACACTGCCTTTAGTCACTGAATCCTTAAAAAAAACAAAAACACTTTCCATAAGAACTCATACTCCCAAAAAAAGAAAAAGAAAATATGGATAGAAACAAAACAACAGAAAAAAAATGTAATCTTTTTTTCTTTAACTAGCATAAAGGTCAAAGGGTCCTAAAGGGGGTGTGCAGGGAGGGTGAAGTGGCCTGGGAGGGATGAGAGGGGTGAGGTTGGAGATAACCTGGCGTACAGAAGGAGCACTATTTTTGTTATGCTCTCTTCGGATGTGGTATGCATCATTTTATTTATATGGCTGTGTTAAGAACTACTATGTTTAGTTACTGTTGATTTGTGATGATTTCTATTTTTTGTATCCTTTATTTTTGTCAAATACATCGGTTTCCCCTCATGTACAAAATGAAAATAAAAAAACTGATCACAAAAAAAGACATTAACTTCAGAAATTTGAGTTTAAGTGTTGTGTTCAATAAACTAGTGGTTGGCAAACTGTGGTATGGGCACCAAGAGTAGTACTCTAGCTTCTTCTAGTCAAATGTTTCCACCTTTGTGCCTCATTTGTAAACTACTTTAGTAACCCGAGACACCAGAGGTAAGCTCATTTTAAACATCTAGACATACTTTAGATTTGTAGTCCTGGAAACACCACAATATTCTTGAGTGGTACTTGGTATAAAAGATGTTACAACCCGTGGTTCAGACCACACAGACCGACTGGTTCCCCACTTGTGAAACCTCAGTCTACTATTGGTAGATATGGACAACTACAGACAGGTGAGGTAATGTCTTTTGTGTAATCATTGTGTAATCTATCGACATGCATATTTATCTGAAGGCGGTGGGCCACACAAACCTGCACACAAAATAGCGGATGACATTGGCATGACACACAATGATCTCATAGCTGTCCTCTTTCTGCTTGGGGTCAGCACGGTGGATGTAGCGGCGAAAGGCAGCCTCAATGCGAGCTCCATCTTCGTGGTACTGCTGGAGGACGGCACAGAAGATGAAAGCCAAATAAAGGGTTTCTTTTTGAACCCCAGACAGTATAGAGACAAAACATGAAGCAAGTATGGCAACAAAGGTGAGTGCTTAAAAATGTAAAAACACAGGTTCTCTTCAAGGAATGTAAAGATGCACTATGTAACTTTTCTGACATAGAAAAGTCCACCATTGGCTTGTCTCCATTTAAGTTATTGCATTGCCAGGAATATTCCAACATAACGCATTAAACTTATCCACATGACTACAAGCAGGCGATGCAGTCAGGATAAGGTGCAGGTCAAATCTGTGAGAGCTTGAGAGCTACATATTCTAGTGTTTTTGGGGTTTTTTTTACAACAAATGACAAACTAACCTAACAAGCTTTTCAGTCTATTTTTAAGCAATCCCCTGAAATGGATTAAATGCAAGTTAGACAAGTTCAGTATCACACAATGGATGACAATGGATTCCCGGTGATACAATACCATCTCCATAGAGACCCATCCACCAGAAAAGTTGCATTGTAATGTGCACCTTTAAGGTTTATCAAGAACAGAGAAACTAGCTGAATATGTATCATGTGACATGTTCAAACTGAAGCCCTGAGAAGAGCCATGGATATTTCCTTGCCTGACCTCCTTTCAGCAATGTCATTGGAGTGTGTTCAGCTAATCTCTCTGCTCTTCAGGATGGAGAAAATGTAATTTTGTAATTTGTGTTGGTCCAAAATGTGACTCATTATGCTGTGTCACAACTAAATGCTTTTAATTTATGTTATTAATTAATAATTACAATATAATAAAATTTTCAGCAATATCCTAGATGGTGTCATGACATTTGCTTAAGCATCTTTGGAAGCAAACACATAGTCATGTAAATCCCAGTGTGTCAGAGTAACATTCTCACCACAGCATCAGGTTTCCAGTGTGTGACAGGGGGAACTGGCTCAATAGGTGCTCCCTCTCTTAATAAATCACAGCTCACCAAGTCCACTCCTACAGACATAACAGAAAAGAAAGGAATTTTACCTACTTCTAATAATGTGTGACTGATAACATGGATGTTTTATGTGTCCAGACCTGGAAGATGTTTGCTAATTATGTTAGCTGTCTCAGTTGCTCTTGTCATACTTGAGTGTATCAGAAGATCATATTTCAGTCCTAGTGCTGCCAATCGTTGTCCTGTTAGCTCAGCTTGTTCACGACCTTAAAAACAATATACATATAAAAAAAGTCAAGAATAGTGCTGGCCAAAAAAAAAAAAATATTAATTGCATTAATCGCATGATTTCGAGGGCTCGGAGTGAAAAAAGCGTAAAGAAAAGATGTCAAACTTAAAGAAAAGCTTGCGGTGGACTTTTTCAAAATAAAAGCCGGTGAGCAACAGACGTTTACAATAAAAAAAAAATAAAAAAATAAAAAATGATAAAAACTGTGTTAATGGCGTTAAAATATATTAAATATTTGGTCGGCGAAAATGAATTAATTAGTTAATGCAAAATTAACGCGTTAACGTGCCCGGCCCTCAAGAACAATACTTTAATACTAGAATGCAATGTGAAAGCAATGTAGCAAAGCAAACATTAAGAGATGTTCAGTGTCAAAAGTAGGCAGTAATCAGTAGGGCTGGATATCATTAAGAAGTTATAGCTCTTCCCTCCTAGTATTTGCATTTAAAGAGACTTACCTAAAGGAGTAAGAAACCTCTCCTTGTCAGTAGTACCACTCAGGTTGTACTGGGAGTGCCTGATGAGAAGAATGTTGCGTGTAGCTTTAGGTTTGCTATTTTCCTGCTCAGAGCTGGGGTCTTCTGTCAGACTCTCTTTTTTTCTCCCATTGATCAGTGAAGATGGGTCTCTCCTGCACAAGGTTAAAAAAAACAGAAGCTTTAATGGCTTTGTCTCAAATTGTTAAGGGAAGGAGAGGAAAACTAGGTCATGTTGGTTAAAGGGTTGAAGTATGACTCTTGGCACCTTACATAAGAGACATTTCTGTTATCAATCCTATGTGCAATTGACTATGAGACTATTTATTATTTAAATTATCATGTTTTAAATTAATCTAGATGTAAATAACAAGTCATTTATGTCAAAGGTGTGTGATGCCCACAATGTGTGGTCACATTGTTTTTATTTAATGTCATGAAATTCTGTATATAAGGAATAGTGGTGTTTTAATTTTGGGAAGCAATTGCAATTTCAATTTTGTCCACCAGATGGCAGACCATGCAGTGAGACGGTTTGCGGGCGCTCTGGCCTCTGTTTCCTGTTACTCGGCGGTAGCAGAAAGAACGTCTCCGTCTCCATTTGTTTATTTCAGGTTGGTACAGTCCCAAAATCACAATACAATGCCATATGAAGTCATATAAACATACAACTTAGTTGTAATACCCGGTAGCGATAGCTAAACGTCTGTTTTATTTGTTTCCTTATTAACGCGCTATACTAACTGCCGCGCTAGCATTAGCCTAGAACTTGTAATTTTGCCCCGCTCCAGCCACATATTACATTTTTGTTATTCGTTGTTGATATTGTATTGTATGGTATTTTGTGAATGAAAGTTAAGTTCAAACAAAGCTACAGTTATAAAAGTTGTGTCACAGTCAATATGCTAACCTGCTAGAGTTAAGTCATTTTATGACATCTTTGAATTGGAGATCAACTGTAAAATTAAGATTACATCCATCCATCCATTTTCGTCCGCTTATCCGGGGCCGGGTCGCGGGGGCAGCAACCTAAGCAGGGACTCCCAGACTTCCTTCACCCCAGACACATCCTCCAGCTCCTCCGGGGGGACCCCAAGGCGTTCCCAGGCCAGCCGAGAGACATAGTCCCTCCAGCGTGTCCTGGGTCTTCCCCAGGGCCTCCTCCTGGTGGGACATGCCCGGAACACCTCCCGAGGGAGGTGCCCAGGAGGCATCCGGAACAGATGCCCGAGCCACCTCAACTGGCTCCTCTCGACGTGGAGGAGCAGTGGCTCTACTCCAAGCTCCTCTCGTGTGACTGAGCTCCTCACCCTATCTCTAAGGGAGCGCCCAGCCACCCTGCGGAGGAAACCTCAAGCGCTTGTATCCGCGATCTCGTCCTTTCGGTCACTACCCAAAGCTCATGACCATAGGTGAGAGTAGGAACGAAGACTGACCGGTAAATCGAGAGCTTCGCCTTTTGGCTCAGCTCCCTCTTCACCACAACGGTCCGATACAGCGACCGCATCACTGCCGAAGCTGCACCGATCCGCCTGTCAATCTCACGTTCCGTCCTCCCCTCACTCGTGAACAAGACCCTGAGATACTTGAACTCCTCCACTTGAGGCAAAGACTCCCCACCCACCCGGAGAGGGCAAGCCACCTTTTTCCGGTCGAGAACCATGGCCTCAGACTTAGAAGAGCTGATCTTCATCCCAGCCGCTTCACACTCGGCTGCAAACCGCCCCAGTGCACATTGCAGGTCCTGGTTCGATGAAGCCAACAGGACAACATCATCCGCAAACAGCAGAGATGAGATCCTGTGGTCCCCAAACCGGACCCCCTCCGGCCCCTGGATGCGCCTAGAAATTCTGTCCATAAACACAATGAACAGAACCGGTGACAAAGGGCAGCCCTGGCGGAGTCCAACATACACCGGGAACAGGTCTGACTTACTGCCGGCAATGCGAACACAGCTCCTGCTCCGGTCATACAGGGACCGGACAGCCCTTAGCAAAGGGCCCCGGACCCCATACTCCCAGAGCACCCCCCACAGGACACCACGAGGGACACGGTCGAATGCCTTCTCCAAGTCCACAAAGCACATGTGGACTGGTTGGGCAAACTCCCATGAACCCTCGAGCACCGTATGGAGAGTGTAGAGCTGGTCCAGTGTTCCACGGCCAGGACGAAAACCACACTGCTCTTCCTGGATCTGAGGTTCGACTATCGGCCGGATTCTCCCCTCCAGTACCCTGGCATAGACCTTACCGGGAAGGCTGAGGAGTGTGATCCCCCTATAGTTGGAGCACACCCTCCAGTCCCCCTTCTTATACAGAGGGACCACCACCCCGGTTTGCCAGTCCAGAGGTACTGTCCCCGACCGCCACGCGATGTTGAAGAGGCGTGTCAGCCAAGACAGCCCCACAACATCCAGAGACTTAAGGTACTCAGGACGGATCTCATCCAACCCCGGAGCCTTGCCACCAAGGAGCTTTCCAACCACCTCAGTGACTTCAGCCAGGGTGATGGATGAGTCCGTCTCCGAGTCCCCAGCCTCGGCCTCCTCCTCGGAAGACGTGACGGTGGGATTGACGAGATCCTCAAAGTATTCCTTCCACCGCCGGACAACGTCCCCAGTCGAGGTCAGCAGCTCTCCCCCCGCACTGTAAACAGTGTTGGCGAAGAACTGCTTCCCCCTCCTGAGGCGCCGGACGGTTTGCCAGAATCTCTTTGAGGCCATCCGATAGTCCTTCTCCATGGCCTCCCCGAACTCCTCCCAGCTCAGAGTTTTTGCCTCCGCAACCGCACGGGCTGCAGCACGCTTGGCCTGCCGGTACCCGTCAGCTGCTTCAGGAGTCCCCCGATAGGACTCCTTCTTCAGCTTGACGGCATCCCTTACTTCTGGTGTCCACCACCGGGTTCGGGGAATGCCGCCACGACAGGCACCACAGACCTTACGCCCACAGCTCCGAGCAGCCGCATCGACAATAGAGGCCGAGAATGAAGCCCACTCTGACTCCATATCTCCAGCCTCCCCCGGAATCCGAAGAAGTCCTCCCGGACGTGCGAGTTGGGCCTGCCAGGTCTTTCCGGCTTCCTCCTCCGCCAGCGAACCCAACTCACAACCAGGTGGTGATCAGTTGACAGCTCAGCCCCTCTCTTCACCCAAGTGTCCAAGACACGCGGCCGGAGATCAGATGACACGACGACAAAGTCGATCATCGACCTCCGGCCTAGGGTGTCCTGGTGCCACGTGCACTTATGGACACCCTTGTGCTCGAACATGGTGTTTGTTATGGACAAACCGTGACTAGCACAGAAGTCCAATAACAAAACACCGCTCGGGTTCAGATCAGGGAGGCCATTCCTCCCAATCACCCCTCTCCAAGTGTCACTGTCGTTGCCCACGTGGGCGTTGAAGTCCCCCAGGAGAACAACGGAGTCCCCGGTCGGCGCACTGTCTAGTACCCCTCCCAAGGACTCCAAGAAGGCCGGGTACTCAGCACTGCTGTTCGGCCCGTAGGCCGACACCACAGTGAGAGACCTGTCCCCGACCCGAAGGCGCAGAGACGCGACCCTCTTGTTCACCGGGGTGAACTCCAACACACAGTGGCTGAGCTGTGGGGCAATGAGCAGGCCCACACCAGCCCGCCGCCGCTCCCCGCAGCCAACGCCAGAGAAATGGAGAGTCCAGCCCCTCTCAAGGAGTTGGGTTCCAGAGCCCAAACTGTGCGTGGAGGTGAGGCCGACTATATCTAGTCGGTAACGCTCAACCTCCCGCACAAGCTCAGGCTCCTTCCCCCCCAGCGAGGTGACATTCCATGTCCCCAGAGCTAGTCTCCATGTCCGGAGATCCGGTCGTTGAGGCCCCCGCCGTCGACTGCCGCCCAGATCTCTCTGCACCGGCCCCATATGGCTCCTCCCGCGGGTGGTGGGCCCACGTGAGGACGGCCCTACGTCGCTCCTTCGGGCTAAGCCCGCCCGGGCCCCGTGGGGGAAGGCCCGGCCACCAGGCGCTCGCTGACGAGCACCCACCCCAGGCCTGGCTCCAGGGTGAGGCCCCGGTGACGCCAATCCGGGCGACGTAACTGGCCTCTGAGTGGACATCATTAAGATTACGAAATAAATACTATCTATGAATAGTCAGGGTTTTGTTTACCAAGAAAATTAGAGACTTGGATTGAAAGAGAAATTTTTGTGTAAATTGTAACTTATTGTTTTGTATTTTACATTTGTATAATTAAAGTTTCTCGGCGGTAGCAGAAAGCAGAGGCCACAGCTAATAACGTCTCCGTCTCCATTTGTTTATTTCAGAACCAAACTCTCCCAACACAAATATTTTAAACTGCCAGCAGTGGTTGTGCCGGCTCAATACCTGCTACAGTTGCATTGTGTAAATTTTATAGTGGAGGGTCTGCCATCTGCTTTTCTCCATGTAGATGTTACTGCAATTTCTGAAATGCTTCACAGTATGGCATTAAACTTTTCTATCATCGTGGAGACCAAAGCAGACAGAGTTACTGGTCAGATCTCTGGAGAGCCAACCACACTCATAACCGTAATATTAGTTTTTCTAGGTATTTTTGAGCAATAAAACCACCTGTAACTGAATAAATGTAAGGTATTTCTGATTAATGTCATACTGTGGAATATTCGAAGCAGAGCAATGACATATCCATAGAAACATAAGGCGACGGACCCACAACTAAAAAGTTACACGGTGCACCTTTAATCCATAGTTCTTTAGTCACCACAGAGTATCACTAAAAATACCTCGCAGTACAAATAATATCTAAATACGAGTGTACAGTGATACAAAGATGCAAGAGACATACTTGTCCCAGTTGGAATCCCAGGCGTGTCCGGAGGGAGCAGGCGTGTGGCTGGAGGGAGTCCACGCCGGCTGCGCAGCCTTAATCACGGTCAATATCCAGCGACTCGTCCCATCTCCCGGTTGTCCTCCTCCAAAATAGCCGTGGGAGTCTGCAGCGGCAGCAGCGACAGCAGCGACAGCGAGCGCGGCTGATCCTCCGGCCAGGCCACATAGAAGTTTCACAGTCCGTCTATATGCCATAGGGAATGGAAGAAAGACTGCTACGGCTAGCTAATTAGCCACACTATTAAACAAATATTATGCAACAGCTCAAAGTATCAGATGCGTTTGTTCCTACTGTCTGTTGATGTTATTTCCGAATGGAGTTCACAAAGTCACTCCAGGATATCCGTGTAGATAAACTACTGAGAGGCGTAACTAAAAATACATCCTCTGTGCACACTAGCGGCTAATCTGAGCTGCTTCCTACAAACATTACGGTGGCCGATATGAGACATAAATGCACAATTTACTGAACGTGAACACTTGGAGGCGCTCTAGACCATCCTAGATTATTGCACGCTTCAGAATCAATTTAGCCAATCATTTTATTACCCAAGGGTATTTTAAAGGTGCATTTTGTATTTTTTCTCGTGGAAGCTAGTTGTCGCTATTGCTTTGTCTGAAATGTTCCACAGTATGGCATTAACTTATCTGTCTTGCATGAATAAATCTTACCTGGCCAGCCAGAACTACACGCTTTGACAAAACTTTACAAAGACGATCAGACTGTAGAAGAGACTGGCTGGTCAGACAATTCAATTACAGGTGATAAAACAATTTCTTCAGAACCGACCTGTAACTTGGCCAGGTGGCACGATCTGCTTGTTTCCATGGAGATAGGCATGATGGACGCTATACCGTGGAATCTTCCAGGCAAAACAGTAACATTTCCATTGAGACAACCAGGTGCATTTAATAAATGGCTTTGGGCACAGTAAGTACACTGTAAAAAAAATATTCATAGGGCTATTATATTTTGTATTGGTTGTTAAGTGGGGGGTGGCAATTGAAGCCTTAATTGCTTAAATGTTTGGGGCAGTTTTTTGCCTGGGATAAGCAGCACCCTTGCTTATGCACTGTGCTGGACAACCATCCTCCAAGAACCCGTGATACATTATTTGTCCAAAGGCTACTGGCAGTGACTGGTCTTGAAGACACATGCAGCAGGCTTTGCGGCGAGGCTCCACCTTTTTGAGCGGTTCAGTGACCTCACTAGTGGGCTGGTTTGGAAGGGTGGGATTTCCAGGCTTTCACAGAGCTCAATGTATTCCTGCAGCCTCTATCTTCGGATCTATGCGGCTTCACCGATAGAGAAAAAAACGGGGCTGGCGGTATTTCCAATAGCCGCAAATCAGGCCTGCCATACGGCGCTGCTGTACCCAAGGACCTCTTTTCTACATGCGACTGCTATCGGAATAACTAATTGAGGAATGTGGAAATTACAGAATGCCCGACAGCACTGGAAAGAGATTTAAACCCACGAAATACATCCCAGTATCCACAGCTGCCACGCTTCTTGTGGGGTCGACCACTTTATTCTTCGTCTTCACGTAAGTTTGCTTCTTGTCTTTTCGCTGCACGGTTGGTTGAAAAGGTGTTTTATGCGTCCTCGCGTTGCACACATTTGACATGAGAAGATTGAGACGCCAAGTTTGCATGGATAAATTTAGTCACTCAGGAGAAGGATATGTGATTTTAGGTTACGAGTATTCCTGTGGTCTGTCACATAGCGGTACTATAGCCATTTGTTGCCTCTACGCTGCCCCAGACAAACCATTATGTGCTGTAGCTGCGAGGCAAACTTCCAACATGTGAGTTTAACGAGGCTTAACTCTTGCAGGAGATTCAATGTTAAGTTTAGACCACAAGTTGATACTTTATGCGTAATGAATCTGCTGAGGGGTTGTTATAATTAAGGTATTTTCTGCTATGGTGCATGTGCGCAATCATGGGGTGTCTAAATGGCATCTTGCTTGGAAATGTGATAAGACAAGTTAATGGACATGTTACATCACCTACAAGCATTTTTCAATCTGCCATTTCATATATTATCTACACCTACTGCACACAAGTGAAAGCCCATTTTGAAAAATCACTTAACCTATCCTTCTTTGTCAAATGGGGAATTTAGCACCTTCATTGCTGATTCTGTCCAGAGATCTGGCCTTAGATAGATAGAGCCTTGAAAGTGATGTATATGGTGTGAATAATTATTTGCACATATATTCTGGTCTTGTTAAAAGGTAAATGGATTCTCACTGAAATCATCAGTACAGGCAGTGTGTCCCCAAGGACTGTGAAGATTTGGAACCTTTGACCAAGAAAGGAGACCAAAAGTCATATTTTACAAAGATTTTTCAGTGTGTGAAGTGAAAGATATAATGCACACTTTAAACCAAGATGTCTTGTGATAATAAAATAAAGTATTGACTGGAGATATGGACTTGAAGCTCTTGCCAAAGCACCACAAAAAGTTGGCAATCACTTAAACTTGTACTATTATTACTACAAAATGTTACAAATGGTAAAATAATAATAAAATGATGAAATGATATATCAGTTTTGACTAGCTGCCCTAAACATTGCAGAGGTATGTGTGTACTGTAGTACCCACTCATGACATGACTTTGCATCCATAGATCTAAACAGCTAAATCACAACACTGCGTGGACTTGCACAGTCAGGTGACTCAGACTGAAGATAACATATGGCTGTGGGTTGCTTTCGTAGGCTGCCTAAATCTTAACTCTCCCTTGAGTTCGTTGTTGAGCTTTGCATAACCAAATGCCCTGATTTACCACATCCACAATAATGGTGTTCCAATTTATAGCAAGATTTGTGATTCAAGCTTAAAGGTCATTGGTTCTGACAGCAGCGTGCTTCAAATCCCATTTACTATTGTTAGTCCTTTATTTGCTGGGCTTTGTATCGTCTAATCTGTGTTTTAAGGTTCATCCCCAGCAGATGGTTCAAGGTTGGGGATTAGGACTTTGTTTCTATATCGTTTCAGTAAAAAATCGCCCAAAGGATTGAGTCATGTATAATGGAGCCCCCCAGGGAGGAGTGCACGTCCAATTCCAAACTAGGCCATCTCTCATCATAAACCCTGTCCATTATTATGATTTCATGCTGGATTTGACCAGTATAGCAAAAAAATGTGACATACTTTAGATATATAGATGTTGGATGATGTTAAATGTAAATGTTAAGATGCTTTTAAATTAATGAATTTCAAGGTTTAAAGGTGCATTATGTATTTTTTCTGTTGAAGGGCCATCAAATGCTTTTCTCCATGTTGCCATTGCTTTGTCTGGAACTTTTCACAGTATGGTATTAAACCTTTTTACCTTCATGGAGAACAAACCAGACCAAGTTACAGGTCAGGTCTGTGGAGAGGCAACCACGCTCACAGTTAGAGTGCCTGCTGTTCTCAGTATTTTTGAGCTATAAAGCCATCTCTAATTGAATAAATGTAAGCTAGAGCTGTTTAATGTCACACTGTGGAACATTTCAGGCAGAGCAATGACATATCCATAAAAACAAGCAGCTGATGGTCCCCCAATCAGAAAGTTACATAGTGCATCTTTAAGGTCTTGGGTCAATGATATTTTGTCTTTTTGTACTTTGGCATTTTACATTTTAAGATGCAGTGAGTTTATACAAGTTATTACTTGTAAAGAAGTCCTTTTGAGGTCATTTGACACAGCCCTACAGTGCCTGGCAATTTAGTAGTTACAATTACCTCATCAAAAAGTGCAATGACATTTTGTATATAGTATTGAAAAGTAATGTCAAACTCACAAAGACATCAAATTAAATTCAAACCACATAATCTGCCCTGATTTTGCTATGGTCAAAGTTTTTGGGCATGGCAGGCGACTGTTGACAGCGGGGAGTTTTGTGTCATATGGACCTTAGAGCCAGGCAGCCCATGTTGGCAAGTACAGTGTTCATAGTGTTAGTGCATTTGGCCGACCGACTCCTGACAGTTTGTGTTTCCCACAGAGATAGAATTAGACCACATTAGAAGAGAATTATTTATATCTCTGCTGCATGACTGCAACTGCTTGCACACAACGGAACACTGGGTAAATTGTGCCTTTTTATATGGTTCAGTTCAGCCGTCATAATTTTAGCCTGGCCTTTATAATTTTATTGCATTCAACCTGGACTAATCCCTACGAAAGCAGCATCACAGCTTTCAGGGATCTCTTTTTAGATTAGGTTTAAACTTCACCAAGAGGATTGAGACCAAATAAACACCATCTGGGGAAAAATATATCTAACTTGGATTAACCTAAAACTAATTGTAAATCATATTAATAATAATGCACTGGATTTATATAGTGTCTTTCAAGGTCCCCAAAGCACTTTACAGTTCATTATTCATTCACTCCACACTGGTGGTGGTAAGATATTCTTGTAACTACAGCTGCCCAGGGGCAGATTGACAGATTCTAGGCTGTTAATCTGCACCACTGGCCCCTCCGACTACCACCAGCACTCATGCACACATCACTTTCATACTACGCAAGGTGGGTGACGTGTCTTGCTTTAGGACACAACAAAGAACGACGTTGTTGCCCCCTACTTGTGAGGCAAATTAGGACTACACCAGGCATGAACAAGGTCCAAAATTCTTCATACATTTTACACGTCACACCAGGACTAATCCAGAACACTGTACCAGGTCCTAAACCAGTCACAACAGACCATCAGAGCAGGTAATTTCCCTCTGATTTATCTGTTTACATCTAGATTCTATTTTATTGTACTGCTGTATTTGCACTGCTGCCCTCAAACATCTCTTTAGTAATACCTCAACTGAATAACCTTTACTTTGGGAGCTAAATAGGCCTGGTGGTTTCACATCACTCATACCAAGCCTATTAAACCCTCTCTGGTGCTTGCCTTGTGGACAGATGTGAGAAAACTATCAATCGATCATCTGGATAAGCCTCAGTTCAGCAGTTTATACCACTAGGTCCTAAATGATATGTTGGGTAGGGGCTGGCATTGAGGTGAATGTATTCCCAGACATTGCAGTGGTGCAGTGCAAGCAAATCAGCCTTGTCACAATCTAGGACTTCCACATCTGTTTCCTCCTTTTCACTGTACATCTATTCAATCAAACTTCATTCACAGAGCTGCTCAGAGCATTGTGTAGAATCAGTGCATAGTTTGGATTTTTGTAAATACACTAAATATACTTCCTATGTTCCAATTTACTTAGAGTAATAGATGGTAATTTGTGTGTAAGCACTGATACAGAAAAAAAAATTGTCTGGAAAAAGAAGTTTAACTGAAACATGACTGTCTTTTAGTTTTCAATGACAATTACTTAAATGCTATATTCATATTGGAAGACATTTGTTTTGTAATAAGACAAAAAAGACCACAAAAAAAACCAAAAAAACTTTTTTTTTTAATATACTGCCAGTGCTTTGATCTTCTTGTAAGATCTTTTAATCACTCTCACCATTGACCCACAAAACCTTAATATTATCTCACAATGATAAAGTCTATGATTAATGATTAATGATGAATTTCTGAAATACTGTATCTGTTTAGATACTGTCCCTTCACCTTTTTTCAAGTAATAATTTTTTTCTTAGCCTTTCTATTATTCATTTTCACGCAACATTTTGGAAACTGTTATATGTTTTGAATTTCTAACCTAAAGAAGATATATTGTGCTTGTATCTGCTAACAAGCTATAATCTACGACACCCATCATAGATTGATGATCATTGTGTTATAATTTGCACATCTTAAATTGCAATATTCATATTTAAACATCATCACAATAAAGAATCCTCAAGTCTGATGGATAGCTGCAGATCATCTCTAGTGAGCAGTGAATATTTTTTTCATTTTAACCAAAATGACCACACAATGCTACCAAATCCTGCACATATCACAGATTGAGAAAATAAAGCTGGAAAACGAAAGTAAGTAGAGCAGTTTTGGTGAAAACGGGTTGATTGGCAATATAGAGTCTTGAAAATAAGCAATTAAATGACAAATCACTCCAAACACAAACATGGATGAATAAATGGTGAAGGGAAACCGCTATAACATGGCTAAAAGCTCTAAAAAGTAAATTTTGCATAATAAATAAAATCTTAAGAAAAAGTTTTCCTCCTAATCATTGTCATATTCAAGATCAAGGATGTCATTGTTGTTGTCTTTCTTAAGTGAGATGACAAACAGGCTCCCACTAATGCTCCACTTCTTTACTGTCCATTAGCGACATGTTTGCTGGTCTCTTGTGTGGCATTAGTGGCTGTGAAGTGCTGTGCCTTTGGATGTAGTTAAATGAATTGTTGGTTTAAGTCATCCTTCTGTTTACATTTGCAAAGTTGAGTCTCCATCTTGGCTGCCTGCTTTTAATATTGCTCCCATGACATTATGGCTTATTTGGATTTAGTTTGTTTATTTAAATGCACTAGGTAGATATCATGCTAGTTTAAAGATGCAAGGAGAATTTACAAATTAAACAACAAGCCTTTTAAATGTACTCCCGTAGCAAAAATCCACTAAGAATTAT